TACACTGACACTGATTGTACAATTAACCATAAAATTATTTTAAAAACAGCTTGGCAGGGATCACCTCATTTCTAGGGATTGTTGCTTATCATGTTTTTATTAATATCATTGTAACAGATATCATAAGGATTTAAAATTCTTGATACTTAGACCTTGTATTTTTTTGGGAAATTCGTTGTGAAAGCCTATACAACCATCTGATCTAATTAATGGGCTACTGATTCCGTGGAGTTGTGTAACTAGCGTTATTAGCTTGCTTGTTCCTGATGTTTACAGAATACATTTTTTATGTTGAGGTTGACCAGCGAGCACACAGTCTACCAGATGGTAAGGGGATGCTGTGATCCATAGACATCTACATCTATCCTCAGCGAAGAATCAAAGTGCAGATTAATCGGAATATAGATATATTATTTTAATCAAATTATCTTTTCTTAACAAAAAAAAATAATTTAATTTTTACCGGAAGGAATTCCCAGCATTGCTTACTATCTGTTCGTAAAGTTTTGTCATAATTGGTTCAACCCATACCATACTATTTGAAAGTGGTTGTTTATATCTTATATAGCATGCAAATGACAGCCTGACTAGTAGTTATTATAATATTATAAATGGACACTTTAATTTTATTTATATGCTATAGATTAAAAAAAATTACAATAAAAGTTGATAGTCTATATTATTTTCTATATTAGTTGATAGTCTTTATTATTATTATATGTGTCTATGGTGACTGGAATCACTTAGATTTGCCATTGTAGTGTTTCCACATACATCTAATCTTGGTTTAGAATATTCCAACTGTTCGCATGAATTTTTTCCAGTTACAGTGGAAAATGCTATAAAACAAGCGAGTTACCGCGTTATGCAGTTAGATCGTGCGCTAGCCGGAGTCCAGCTGTGGGCGGACACCGAGCGCGGACTGGCGTTGAAGCCGCGAGATTTATGCTCGCGCTAATTTATCGCCCGGACCCCGGACTCCGCACGATTAATGGAAACACTTGCACAAACTTTAGCGATGGTTCATTTGAATTTATTATAACGTAAGCACGTTTATGCGTGTTTATTTCTCTATTCGGTAATGTAATTTTAATTAAATATTTGATTTTTATTACATATTAAATTTCATTGTTATTTCTATTTTTACATATCTATAATATACACAAATATAATATGGTATACATAGAAGGTAGATAGAGTTCAAAGAGCCCCAAGCCACTTGGACCACGTTTAGCCGTATTAAGTTTAAAAAGATAGATATAGATATAGATATAGATGGAAAATGTGGAAGTTGGGGCAGGTGGCTACTTCGTCTCCTGCACGATCACAAACTCAGTATGCCTTTAGTTGTCTTTTACAACTGACTTGACCGAGGTATACCCGCGTGGAATACCAGTTCAATGCTGCGGTGTTTCGTATATTGAGTGTACGGAACCGAAGACTCTTTTCACTGGAAATGAGGCGTTCCATTTATTGATTTATTTATTTATTCTTTTTTGTGCACCACAACACAAAAACATCAAGTTATAAAACACAGTTATAACTAAATTAAAGTAAATACAATAGGCGGTCTTATCACTCTGAAAGTGATTTCTTCCAGACAACCTTTGCGTAGAGGAATGATGCAAACAAAAGATACAAATAGAGGGGGGGGGGGCATACAAAATAATAATAAAAAATATAATAATACATACAAATAAAGATAAGTGAAAATTATATATAAATTATCATATAATAGATTAAATGAAAAGAGTACGAGAAAGGTAAAGTAATTTATCTAATAGCGTTCTAAATAATACGATTTAACAAGACTTTATAAAGAGTGAAGAGATTTAGCACGACGAATATGGAGAGGTAAGAAGTCTATCTTGGTCCTGAGGGTTGACAATGCTTCTGCATTTTGATTCATAATCGAAGACAGATGTAGATGTTTTATATTCAAACAAGAACTTTCAGGAGTTGATGATGAAGAAGACGAAGTGGTGATGGTTTTATTATTGGCTCAGGCTTTTTACTACTTAGGAGTCCGTTTAGGTACTTATCTGCTGTCAAGAAGCTTTTCACCCAATGATCTGTTCCGGCCTGGAGAAAAAGAAACTCAAGACAATAACAGGCTTGGGATTAAATCCCTTCGTCTGAGTCTTCAAGGCTATCATCGCACCTGTTTGTTTGAAGTCTAGTCGGCAGGTATTCATGGACCCTCCTTACAATTAGGTCCGGACCATAAAAAGTGGGCTGTTAGCATATTTGTCAGTCTAATTCTATACAGAAATATAGTAGAACTTCTCTACTAGGAGTGCATCTTGGTAAGTTAACACTAAAATAAGGCCTTCCGTGTCGCACACTATCGCCGTAAGTACGAGCAAGGCCTCTCGATGAAGCGGCTCCAAGGAATAAGATGTTTCGACGTAGACTTAAAATATGGTAACAGTTTCATAGGGGCTGGGTAGCAGCACCAAGATAGACTGCATTAATAACCGTAGTAGTAGCCTTAAGGCCGCGGCTGAGTTCCGTATTTTTTATAGAATACGTGTGAACGAACACACAGTCCACCTGATGGTTATAGGAAGCTGTGGCCCATAGACGTATTACATTTTTATCCTCTAATAAGAATCAAATCGCAGATGTTTTGTTATCCCTGAGTACTCAGATGGAATGCCTGATTTTCAGTAAAAGGGTCTCCGGTTCTACACTCACCATACGAAACACAGCAGCATTAAGCTGCTATTTTACGCCGGTATTCTGTGAGAGCGTGGTCCTTTCTCGGTCGAGCCCGACCCATCTTAATATATGTATATAAATTACGTGTCACGTTGTTTGTCCGCGATGGACTTCTAAACTACTTAACCGATTTTAATCAAATTTGCACACAGTGTGCAGTTTGGTTAACTTGAGAGATAGGATAGTTTTTTGCCCATGAGTGTTTTTTTTTGCTAATTGCAGAATTTTTAATAGGACATGACAAAGGGTTGCCGAATAGGGCAGAACAACGTCTGCCTGGCAAGCTGGTTTAATATATATTAATATAGCTGCAGCATGGCTCTACCACGTAAATATCCCTTGACTGAGGGAGACCACCGGCAGGAATTTAGTTTGTAGGAGTCTGTTATAACCTGTCTACTTCTCTCTAGGGCAGCCAAGTACCAATAAAAAATTACATGTAAAAAATAAACCCCCTTACTACTTTTACTTAACTACTACTAACTGACACTAAGCAGCAATGTCTCTATTCTTGCATTCTAATCTGATGTACGTGTATAAGAGAACGAATCGCATTATTGGTTATATAATTGTTGTTCATAATACTCTTTAAGAGTTTCAGCCTGTAGTCAGTACAGTACAGTCAGTAGAGTCATCAACACATAGACTGCTACTCCTCATGTCACTTCTTGTATGCAAGTACGTACACGTTGTCAACTATAAGAACTAAATTTATATGGACTTCATTGTACCAGTGAATACTGAGCTCCACTGGTGAACCTATGGTGAGGCTCTGCCTTAGATTTCTTCATACAGGGATATTTGCCATAGTTGCAACGCTTGATAAACGGGTTGACAACCGCAGTTGTTTATTTTTAGTCATTATTAGGAAGCCGTTGCTGCCCATCTGCTGGTTTTTTTCCCCTGTCGCTTGTTACCACATCTACGAGATGATATGCGGTTGTGCATATTCTTACACCGCCATTACCTACTCCTTTAGATAATAAGCAGTAAAAAGAGAGAGCTAGACTGTTAAGAGTGAAATTTATTTTTACAATTTTATATGGTATCACCCCTAAAGGTATAACCTATTTAATAAAAAAGAAAACGTTGTGTAGTCACTTTTATTTCACAAAAACTAACATAATTCACTTAAATATTGCCATAATAACTCAAGGCCGTTTCATATTTATGACGTCTAAACACGGGCTACAATTGTTATTTAATTTCCGAGACGAGTATAAAACAAACTGTTTTCCGAATTCATTTTATATGTCTCAACTATTTTATGAGGCATCATACACAGATTCATACATTTTCATGGAGCTCATTCGAGTTGACCCCACTCAACCCTTGGCTTTTTTGTCGTCTTTATGAGAAAACATGATTCTTTTATCGTATTGTTTTATTGCCCATACCTATTAACATATACTTTACTCGGACTGGTATAATAAGTAAGAAAAAATGAGTAGGTACTTTTCTCATATCGCACATTGAGAAGAAGAACGTCACTAAACAAAACTAAGGTAATTTTACATTAAAACGCCATCTTTTTTATTCAAAAAACAATCTCTGTATTGCAAAGACTCGTTTTGTCGTAGTTCCTCTAATTGTGGCTAGATAGCGTAGTGACGTTATGGTTTTCTGGCGGGGCGGCACGCTTTAGGACAAGAAAGAGCGGCATTTTTTTAGTAGTGACAGAGACACGACGCGTATCACTACAGGGCCTACGAAGAATAACGTTGTTGTTTGGATAGTGTCGTTGTGTAGTAAAACTTTTTGGTAAGTTTTTAAGATTGCTTGAAGTAATAACGTCTTTATATGAATAGTGTCGATATTCTATCAATTTAGTACACCACAAAGTGTCGAAATACAAAGTTACATAGTGTCATTTTGAGTATAAATACATTATTGTTTTAATATTGATATGTTTTTTTAAAATCTTTATGACATTTTGCATTAAATGTCAGTATTCATATAATACCAAACTAGAAATTAAGTTTTTGATTGAAAGTAAAGGAGTCATATTTCGTTTAGTGCCTACAATTAAGTAGCAAATAGTATAAAATTAGTTGTTGTACTTTTTTGAAGATTGTCGTTTTAAATTGAAGTTTATTTTATTTAAGTTAGTTTTTTTGTAAAAAAAAAACAGTATCATATCGACATATTGCTGGAAGCAACAGTTATTCACGTCATCATTTGAAGATAATACAAAAAACTTTAAGACATAAAGCCACATTTTGTTTAACTACACAATATTCATATTATTTTAATGTTTTTTCTCCTCTATTTCAGTCAAAATGCCACTACCAAATTCCAGAAGTCTAGCATTAAAAGAAATTATTAAAGATCTCCAAAAAAATAGCTCAACAAATAGCGAAGTAGAAAAAGAAAATTTATTACCAGTAAGCCCAACCGACCAGAAAGAACCGATAGAAAATCAAGTTGTACCTTCTACTTCAAAAAGAAACATACCTTTAAATGAACGTGCTTATAATGTACACCAAAGTTTACGTGATAAAGGATCGTCCTACTCTTCCGATCAAAAGTCTGATCAAGATTTTTCGCCTGCTTCCGATGATGATAGGGAGTATATACCCCCATCTATAGCTGACAGTTCGTCTTCAGACGATGATTTCAAGCGACAAAATAAACAAAAACAACATAAAACTTACCTCTCTCAGCCAATCAAATCTTTGGAAGAAACAAAGTGTCCAATTAAATCCGTCTCGTCAAGATCAACTTCTGTGTCGTCGTCTTCTAATACTTCGAAATCCAACTCTAACACCAGCTCCGATTCCAGCTCCGATTCCAGCTCAGATTCTAGTTCAGATTCTTCTAGCTCAGATTCCGAGTCTGATTCCTCAAAATGTAAAAAAAATAGTAATTTTGTTCCTTCACCAGCTAAATTAAAACGCTATAGTTCTCCGGTTGTAAATACTTACCCCCCCTCAACCAAAAACTTCATCAAACTCAATGCAATTAGCCGAAAAATCTGTATCATCAGATTCAGAAGATTACACATCTCATTTTAAGGAAGTTTCTTCCATAAAATCAAATATTAATACAAATAACATTTCTGGACACATCCCTCTTTCTGAAAATTTACTTAACATCAGTCCAAGTGCTTTAAATTTATCTACAGAAATTTCAACGGATGTCCGAAAATTCCATAACTCGAATGAACCGTTACCACTAAAAGTTCTTGCACAGAAAATTGTCACCTCATTAATTACACATCAACAATCTTATTTGTCTGCTTCTCGTTCAGCGGAGTGCCAAAATTCTAACTCTTCTCCTAAAAAGACACGCAAAAGAAAACGAGGAATAAACAAAAAAAGCCTTGGCAAAAACATTGCGCAATTTAGGGCAATCATATACATCTACCTCAAATGTTGTTAAATCTTGTAGAAAAATAGGAAATCCTTGCGGTGATGGTTGCCGACAAAAATGTAAGGAGAGGATTTCGGAGGAACAGCGTCAAATTATTTTTAAACGATACTGGAGCATGGGATCTCTAGTTAAACAAAGAGAATTTATATCCAGACATATTAGGGAAATCAAGCCTAAATACCAATACAAAAAAATTGATAGCAATAGAAAACCTAAACATTCTTTTTATTTCACTATAGATGGGGAAAAAATTAAAGTTTGCAAAGTCTTTTTCAAAAATACATTGGGATTAAATGACAGACCTATTCGCACCGTGATTGAAAAATTGAATTCGTCAGGAATCGTTGAACCAGAACTTCGAGGTAAACATAACAAACATCGTCAAGTACCAGTGGAATTGTTAGATGGAGTCCGACAGCACATAAATAGCATACCTAGAATCGAAAGTCATTTATTAAGGAAACAAACAAGCAGAGAATATATTGATGGAGGAAAAACACTAACCGATTTACACACAGACTATAAAAATGATTGCGAAAAGAACGGACTGCCATATGTTAAAATCCACACGTACCGAAAATTTTTTAAAGAAGAATTTAATATTAGTTTTTATATTCCGAAGAAAGACCAATGTGGAGACTGCATTAAATATCAAAATTCACAACCTTCAGAAAAGGAAAAGCTCGAAGAAGAACACAGAATTCATTTACAAGAAAAAGAAAAAAGCCGAGTAGAAAAATTGAAAGATAAGGAAGCCGTAAGCGAAAAAAACATAGTAGCCTGTTACGATTTACAAGCTGTTCTACAAGTACCTAAAGGTAATGCGAGTCAGTTTTATTATAGATCCCGATTGAATTGTTTAAATTTTACAATTTGTGAATTGGCAAAGGATCATACTGAATGTTTCTTTTGGACTGAGGTTGAAGGAGACAGAGGTGCCAATGAAATAGGCTCTTGTGTTTTAAAGTATTTACAAGATAAAACAGCAGCTGCATCTGAGGCATTAGATTTCATTTTTTACAGTGACAATTGTGGTGGGCAGCAGAAAAACCAGTTTGTATTTTCTATGTACATTTATGCAGTTAAGAATCTCGATAAAATTCGGTCAATAACGCATAAATTCTTGATAAAAGGGCATACTCAGAATGAAGGAGATGCTGCACATTCCACGATTGAAAAACAAATTAAAAAGAATCTACGGTCAGGACCAATTTATGTTCCAGACCAGTATGTAAGTGCTATAAGAGATGCAAAAAAAAGGGGAAATAAATATATAGTAAAGGAAATGAGTCATTACGAATTTTATGACATAAAGAGCCTACAAGAATATAAACTTGTGAAAAATAAAGAAGGAGAAAAGGTTAAGTCTAGTGATATTAAAGTTTTAAAAGTTGAAATGTCGGAAAATGTGTCTGATGGCATAAAAGTTTTTTATAAAACTTCTTATTTACAAGATGCATTTAAAGAAATAAATTTGCAAAAGTTAAGCCGGGCCAGACCTCAATTAAAACAATTATATTCATCAAGAATATCTTTATCTGCTGCTAAAAAAGCTGACCTGAAGAAACTTATTAGCGAGCGCGCTATTCCACTTTACTATGCTTGTTCTTTCTACAATTTTGTTCTTAATTGATTTCAATTTTTAACTGATCTCATGTTATTTGATTTGCTATGTAAATTGATATACTTTATTTACTACACATTTATGCCTTAATTATGTTCTAACAGTAAATGTTCTTTAGTTTGACTATTGATTTTTATAGATTTTATAAAAAATGTTTTGGTACTCAATTATTATTTTTAGTTTTTAGATTGGTAGTTTAGTACTTGATCTATAATGTTCCTAATACTTAAGTAAAATAATATTAATATTCTAATAAATAACGACAGATTAATGATTATTTACTACGGAGACTGATTTGGTAAGCTTACAATTAGAATAATTATTCATAAAATTAGTCACCATTACTATTGATAGTAATAGTTAACACTCCCAAAGATAACTGTCAGACAATAAAAAATACATAACTATGTATTCCTTTGTTTTATTTTTCGATATTTCGCAACTAATTTGAAATTAGTAATGTAATTTTAAAAAAATTACATCGCTTTTGTGACTCTTATGACTACAACTTGTCACTGGTTCTGCAGTAATAATAAAAAGAAGAATGACACTAAACAAATTTTTATAAAAAAATCAACATTACAAGTCAAAGAAATTAATAATAAAAAGTAAATTATAATATTAAAATAGTTTTCTATTATTTTTAGTGAAAACAGCATCAAAAAATAGTTTCGAAGTCAAAAACTGCAATGGTGTCATTTTTTCATACTTTAAATGCTTATTCCTCAAAACTACATTTTTTGTTTAGTGACGTTCTTCTTCTCAATGTGCGATATGTAAGTTATAGTATGGTCAGCAGAAAAACCACAACTGACTTTTCAACAAAAGTCTATTTGTTTCAATCTACTAGTTAATCCTACTGTACAACATTACACTAACCACGTACACACACGACAAGAATACGTCTAAGAAACTGATATTTTCGTTTTGCATTGCACGCCAACTACAATTGGGTCAGGCAGGATGTGCGTAAACTCAATTAAAAGAACTACATTTTATACGTGGTTTAGCCACCTGGCTCTGAAGGCTCGACTTGGGAAGGACCACCCTCTCACAGAATATCAGCGTAAAATAGCAGCTTAATACTGCTGTGTTTTGAATGATGAGTACAGAGATCCGGAAACCCATTCTTACTGGAAACGAGGCATTCCATCTTAGTCATCAGGGGTGACAAAGCATCTGCGTATTGATTCTTAAGCGAGGTGAAATAACTGAAGCGTGTAGTGAGTGTAGAGAACTACATTCCACCCTTGTCCTCAAGGGCAACGCATCTACTTTTTGATTCTTAACTGGGGTTCTTGCCTATTCGCCACAGCATCCACTTACCATCAGATTGACTGTGTGATCGTCACTCTTATGTTATAACAGCAACTTATAAGAAAAAAACTATCCCACCAAAAGTATTAACGTGTGTTTCTTGTAACCTTATTGTGTAATCTTATGATAACCCTTATTGAAATTCATTACTATAAACTTTATTGCTTTGAAAGATATTATAAAAATTAACGAATTTTCAAGAACTTTTTTTTATAAGATACGATTGACAAACGAGCACACTGTCCACCTGATGGTAAGTGGTTGCTGTAGCCCATAGACATCTACATCTATCCTCGATTAAGAATCAAAATGCAGATGCGTTGTCACCCGTGAGGACTAAGGTGGAATACCTCCTTTCCAATAAGAAGGGTCTCCGGTTCTCTACACTCACCATACGAAACACAGCAAGGTCAAGCTGCTATTTTAGGTTGGTCCCCGGTCGAGCCGGCTAAATCTTGCTACAACAATACTACTATAACATAGCTGCAGCACGACTCTTCCACGTAACTTTATATTAATATAACAAAATAACATCAGGGCTTGTAGTTCTTTATTTATTTTTTCGAGTTTTTTAGACTTTTGCTCAGACGGTATACGCCGAAAGATCTAGCATGCGGTGAACTGTACCTCTCAGAGCCGGGAGTCTGATATGGCCTATTATATTTGCATAGAAAATACTCGCCGGTCGCCACGTCCGCGACTGTCTCTATTTATTGTCTTATTTGTCTACATACGTCCGCGAGTACGCATTGACGTCCAGTAGATGACATCTTGTTATAAATATCTATGTTAATGGTATTATTATACACTGTCATTCTTGTATTTCTCCGGGACTTTTTTATTGTATTGTTTTATTTCGTCTCAGTAAGGCTGTTACCTTGAGTTGAGGCACTATGTTTGAATAGCGTACTTCAATAAGAACTTTGTATAAATCGTCATTTAGAATATTGCTTAGAATAGAGAATTAGGCAGAATTTTCTAGAAATATTCGTAAACGAAGCTGGAATAGAGAAACTATGCTAAAGAGAAGCAATGCTTAATTTTGCAGATTAATTATTAGGTAGAGATCACAGCTTTACAATAAGGTGTGAATTATTTTGTAATTGAATGATGTATAGGCATGGAACAGAAACTGAAATAGAAACGGAAACTTTTTATTCTGTATAGATTATAAATAGTATTTATTAAAAGTCACTTTTATGTTTACTTTAACACTGGCTCGGGAAATACCTCTGTTGTGGGCAGAACCAGCAAAAATACAGAGGAACTCTTTTTTGGAAATAAAAAGACAAACACAATTGACAACACAAAAAAAATTAAAACAGTTTGGTAGCGATCACCTCAACCAACGATTAGTCGAAATGACAGAGTGCCAGTTTGTATTTCATGGAACCAACATCCAACGGGGAAAAGGTTTTCGAGTGACACCTACGAGTCGGTAAGCGCAGTGTAAACTTCTAAATGGTTAATTACAACTAAACGTTGTAATGAAACGCCGGAGAAATCGAAGGAGCTAATGTTTAGCATGACAGATCAAGTGTGAATGTTTTTCTTTAGACGGTTAATGAAGGGGTGCTGTTATTTAATTGTTGCTCTCGTGGTTGTTAGCGAGACTGTGAACTTAAGTCGAAGATTCAGTTATGAGTTTTCTGTCAAGAAATTCCAATTGTTCCGTGTTTTACCCTCGTGGAAAGTACATAAAGTTGTTGGTCATGGGCCTGACCTCTTGCTCAAATTTTGTCGGATTACCGTCTCATAGTCCAACAAAGTAAGGAAATAAAGAACTCGCATGTGCTTGCGCACACACCCGTACACTATAGTGTAGACTAACCATCTGCACATGGCATTCTATTATTGAACTTTATTATACGCATGTTGAGGGTTGTAAAAGGACCCGCTGGGTTTCTTGCTGGTTCTTTCCAGGACAGAGGTTTTTTCGAACTAGTGGTAAAGTATAAAGTTGACTTTCAATAAGAATTACTTGTAATCAATATTGAAATAAAAAATTATTCTATTCCATTCTATTCTATTCAGTAAAATCAACTCTTTCTCTTAATTTTAAAATTCACTTTCACGCGATGTTACTATTGGTTGAAGAACGAGGCCTTAGCGGTTAATTAATGATGAAAAATCCAGAGATGCAAAACCTAAATTTTGTAGACTAGTGATACTGAGGGTAATAGAATGTGCGTTTGCCAACCATGAGTTGCCCTACGTTGCCTACATACAAACAAATATTCTGTCTAGCGGCAGAAATAAGGAAAAAAGTGATACCTACCTAGCTAGAGGAACTTCTTGACGAAAAAAGAGTCCTACCCTCACATAGTCAGGCAATAAACATATTATTAGGTCCTTTCCTATGAAATTGCCGTTTTTTTTATGAAATAAGATAACGTAATCACGCGTGCAATGGATGCATATTTGCCTACGAAGTGGCAGTTTATTGATGCTCTTCTTGAAGAAATCAGCTGATTGTGAGTTAACATTTACATAAAGAATAGTGTGCAGTTTCTTGGTCACTTGGAGGAGGAAAGCCAAACTGGACTCATAAAGCTTGGGGTGCTCAGTAGAGCGAGACAGTATTTCATGCCGGCACATCGCTTGCAACTTTACAAAGCGCAAGTTCAGCCTCACATGGAATACTGTTCTCATCTCTGGGTCGGGACATCTCAGTGCCCGCTCTTTCCATTTGACCACATACAGTGCAGGGCCATTAGAATCATCAACGACCGAGTTCTTTCCGTTCGGCTCGATTCACTGGCGCTCGTATGGCTGCGTTTTCTATCGTATCTACCACGGGGAGTGTTCTGAGGAATTGTTCGGATTAGTTCCAGCCGCCAATTTTCACGAACGCACATCGCGTAAAATTTCCTGATACCATCCTTACCATGTGTACCACCATGTGTACGTTTTACTAGGAGTTTTCTTCCTCGTACAACTTCTCTGTGAAATTGTTTTCCACCGGCGACTTTTCCGGACCGATTCAACTTAGAGACATTCAAAAAAAGATCTCACTCCTAATTCACCTGATGTTTCGGTTCTTCATGGGCGCCTTTAGTCACTTACCATCAGGTGAACCGCATGTTCGTTTGCCCCTCTTCTATAAAAAAAAAAACAAATTCTTCAAAAGCATTTTGTACTGCCTCTCAAATCATCAGCTTCTACAATCGCCTTTAATTCGTCATAGTTGACCAAAGGACTCATTTTCCAGGGCGAAATTTCCAGGACGGAAGCGGGCAAACCAACACAGGTGGCGCGTTTGTTCGTAGTATTCACTCCGTAAAAGTCGTTAATGTTGCGTGCCGCTTGTGCTGTGTTGCTGCTGCTGTTGCGGTACTCATATTCCATAATTACTCTAATATTTTTAACGTAGCCATGATCACGGAAAAGATTAAAATGCAATGTAAACATAAAACTAATCAATGAACAAATGACTAATTTTGAAAAAAAATTCCATGTTTTTAAAATAAAATAAATTTAAAATTAGAATTCTTAGTCAAATAAAAATCATTTAGATTTGAAATGGACAGTGTTGCAGAACGGCAAATTCCTGTTACCTGATAAATACTCAGTTTTAAATGTTAACACAATAAAAAACAAAACAGAAAACACTCGTAACCACAGAACACAATTACTCTCTACCGAGAACTCGTGACATATTCAAACTTTATGTCAAATAACTGGCAGTTTAA